TGCTTGGAGAAAACTCTCCTGAGTTTCTCTGATACACCGGCTACATAGGGGATGACAATGTTGTTGCGTCTGTCCTTCTTATCCTCCCTCGCTGGTGTCTGATCCTCTTTTCTGTGCCTCTTTGCTGACTTTATGAACTCCCATTTAGGATAACGCATGTTTTGAGTGCTTCCTTTACATGTGTGTGTTCCTTCTTATTTGGTACTATTCAAATGAAGCTGAAATTAAGTTGAATAAATCCTCTGTATTCAACACACAGTCCAATACTGATGTTTCTGTCTGTGTCTTTCAGTGCTGGGAGCAGCGTATTTACTCATGACTTCAGGTAAAAGTTGTAGTGTTTGCTCATAATTCACAGATACTTAATGTTATGGTCCTGGGTCGTTTCGACCCAGCGTTTTTAGTTCTCATGTTTTGTCTTGATGCATTCTCAATCATCCAGGTAAGTAAATCTCCAAAAGTTGATTCTGTTCATCTGGACGTAGCGTTTTGTGGGAGAAACGTTTTGTCATCATCCAGGTGACGTCTTCAGTCTCAGCTGACTGCATGTTTCAATCTTATAAACAGCACATCTGCATAATGACTGAAACCAGCCCACTGAAGGAACAATGGGCTGGGAGGTCAGTTCCTTCATCATTAATATGCAAATTCTCATGACCATTGATCAACAACCACTGACCAAAACCCACTGATCAAAGACCACTGATCTTGATCAATGGTCATGAGTCCCATTCACAGAGAGTTAGGGAATGGCTGCAATCACAGCATTGTAAGATGGTGACAGATGTACCCTTAGGGGTAAGAAACTAAGAAACTAAGAAAGAAACTAAACATGCACAGGAGGCAAACACACAGCATAAAGAAGATACGACACTGACACAGAGAAACACAGGGCTTAAATACACTGGGAAGTATTCTGGGAATGGGCAACAGGAGGGAGACACAGCTGGGAGAAATTAGACTAACGAGACAGGGTAGAAGCAAAACAGAAACACTGACATCAGACAGGAACATGAACCTTCAAAGTAAAACAGGAAACAAGACACACGTTACTAGGACAGACTCAACAGAGTGAGACAGACTAGACACTGAACTAAACCTGCAATAATAACAAAATACAACCAGAACATTAATCATAATACAGAAACATACCAGAATTGAAACACAGAGTCATCATAAAAATCAACAAAGCACCAGAGAAACATGAAAAACAATCCAGCTTTCAAAAATAAACCAAAACATAAGGAACTCAAAATGCTGGGTCAAAATGACCCAGAACTGTTACTTTTATCGAGGAACGGGACTGTGGCACAACTCCTACATACTACTTGGGCTGTTTACTCTATAAATCAGCTGATCGCCTTGATGCTGGCTCATCGCTCAGACCCACAGATGTACCAGCTGAAATCTGGAGGAAAACACATCGGAGATGCAGAGGTAGAGGACAGAAAAAGAGAAGGAAGGAAGCTGTGAGAGAGCGGTGGCTCGAATTGAGGAGAAGGTACTAACCGTGTCTGCCATCCATCATAATGGGCGCTACTCGTTCTTTATCAAATAAAAATTAGGAGCTGACAGTGCATGTAAGCAGTTAGAGGGAATACCGGGAGTGCATCATGGATGCACCAGGATATTCATGACTACAACGTATCTGTGGAAGGCTTCTGACTGTTCAGGCGGACACGGACAGCACTGGGAGCAGTATGCGGAAAAGAGGTGGGCTTGCTGTTTATGTTAACAACCGGTGGTGTTACCCTGCCCACATAATAATCAAAGAAAAGATTTGCTGCCCGGAAATTAAACTGTGTGCTGTTGGACTCAGGCCGTATTGTTTGCCCAGGGAATTTACCCATGTGATCCTGGTGGCTGTCTATGTTTCTCCCTCTGCTAACCCCACCGCTGCATGTGACACTATCCACTCTGCCATAGTCCGGCTACAGACTCAGCACCCAAGTGCCTCCATGGTGATCTCTGGTGACTTCAACCATGTGTCATGTTTCGGCTGTGTGCAGGCTGGATGAGAACCCAATCGCAAACTCACGGAGGCAGGAATGAACTCAAACTTCACAGCTTTATTGCTGGAGAGCAAAACCATACAAACTAAACTGGGAAACTATAACGTAATAGACGGAGAAACACACGGCCATGAATGAGGGAGACGCAGACATAAATACACAGAGGGTTAACAAGGGAAAGGGAGAGCACACGGGGAACACAGGTGACACTGATAATCATAACAAGACAAGGCAGGAGTGAACGCAACACTGACGGGAGACTGTCAAAGTAAAACAGGAAGTACACAGAGCTTCAGACAGGAGGAGAGAGAGTCAAGTTATTTTTCCTTCCAATAGTGTTAACATGCTACACAGGTCACGAACAAGATTTTTTTAAATTTCCATTGTAAGTGGGCTAAAGCAGTTAATTAAAAGTAGTCGCTCAGTGGGAGACTGAGATTATTCTGTACAACTCCTCCATTTAATACCATGTAAACACTGCAATAGTTTTGAAGACACTCTTTCTTACTCTGTAATGTGGCAGTTAATTTGTTGATATTTATTAATAATCATATCTGTCAACCCTGAGTATTTATTACTTGCTGACTTGTATATATTGTGCTGTTCCTCATATCCTAACATATATTGATAGTCTAGTTTGTTTTTGTTAATGCTGCTGTACTGGAAAATATGTATAAAATTATATTTATGCATTCAGTTTTTATTACAGGGTTTACCAGAGCCCAGCTCTCTTTACCTTCCAATGTGACGGCCATATCCACAGGGAGAGTGATCACCTTTAACGTCCCCAGTGTCCTACAGCTGAGCTGTGGTAAGAAGGGTGTAGTTTGTACGTTAAAGCTGGATGTAAAGTCAGGTCCATAAGAATATGCCCAGTGACTTGTTTTTGCTCGCGTACATCACCACAGTGGATCTTAAATTGGACAGTCAGGATGTGACTGAAGTGCAGACTCTCAGCTTCAAATCATGAAGTTTAATAAAAGAATTATATTCAAACTTTCGCGTCATGTTTGGGTCAAATCTGACCAACACTGATAAATATTGTGTTTTGCATTTGATTGCCTCAAGGCCTTATGACATCCTCCACACTGTGCACTTGAACTTATAAAAGTGATGATTATTTGTTTCAATGAAATTTTGATGTTTTATTACATCTGTGATGTTCCCGCTCAAAGGTGACCATCACTGGAAATGAATCTTTTACACAGTCACCTATTTTGGTTGATTGATTGATAATACTTTCCAGCACCATCTTACCCTTCAGACCAAACATACATTACACAAACATCACATGGGGAAGACGGGTCAGAGAGGTAGTTTGAGTGCGTTAAAAAAAACACAGTCTGAGTACTCACAGCCCTGCCCATCGTCTATCATGTCGGCCAGCTTTGTGGGATTTTGAACAGCTGTAGCTGCTTCTTGTTCTTTGATAAGCCAAGCCAGCTCCAATCAGCCACAACTCTGTTATCGTGGTTCCAAATTGGTAGATGTCGTTCAGTGTCCTCCATCAAGAGTGTCGCCAGACACACGACGCAACCGACCATCGAGTATCCGACAGCAAACATCTCTGCAGGACAATCAGGCTCTCCCAAGCCCAGGAGGGTGGGATCAAATCCATAATTCTTCTTTATGTTTCAGAGAACAAGTCTTTGAAACTCTCTTAAGGTTAGAGAATATCCAAGACTATACAAAGGACATGAGAAGCCAAGCAGGAAAGATAAGGGAGAGGGAGAAAGTGTGACCGCCTCCATCAAGAGCCAAGAGCAGAAGCATTTTGGATCTGACTGACACTTCTGAGTCTGTAAAGTGAAGCCAAAGTGTCTTAAACCTGCGTTATTGATATTAACATTTCATTTTTCCTTTTGTCTCATTGTGTGTGTAACAGGCAGTGGAGTGATGATTGTGCAGTCAGTTTTGTACAGATGTGCAGATAAAGAAATCTGCTCTCAGCTTCACAATCTGGACTTCATCAAGAAAAGGTGAACACTGTCGGGTAGTTTAACTGCTTTGATTACAATAAAAAGCACCAGCAGCTCAAATGAAAGCAGCAGATATTAGAAACCATGAACTGATCACTTCAACAAACCTAGAAATTGGTTTTCTGTGTCCCTGCAGCTGTGACTTGAAGGAAGTGTGTGAAATAAATACAAACATGGTCTGTACCTGTGAGCACAGCGTCTGCACCTACCTGGACATCACCTTCAACTGCGTCCCTGCAAGTCTGTTACATCTGTGATTATCAGCTAACAATCAGTCACATCTGTACATGAATCATTACAGTTTCTAATGTGATGCGTTTCTTTGTCAGTCCACAGTGTAACATGTCAAGGATCTCAGGCGAACCTTCAGTGTGGTCAGATTTCTTTTTCTCATTTATTGTAACTTTAGTGGATTCATTTGATAGAACTACAAACATGGTTACAGTTCATGAACTCTTCCTCAGGTGAAGGACAGGTTATAGTCGTCTCCTGGGCGAATTATGGTCGCCGTGACAACACCACATGCCCTGATGGAGATTCTGATCACGTCAAAAATGTTAACTGTTTGAATCCCAGTAGTACAGAATATGTAACTGAGAGGTACAGATGCTGACTCTCTTTCCATCTTCTCTCAGATGACACGACGTATTTCAGTCCTCTGCTGACTCACCTTTGACCTGCATTCACAGGTGTAACTGGCAGAACAACTGTACTGTTGAAGCATCAAACACAGGGTTTGGAGACCCCTGTAGTGGCACCTACAAGTACCTGGAGGTGGTTTATGACTGTCAGGGTAAGAACTTTAAACTTCATGACTCTGTGAATTCAATTATATGTACAGATAATTATTAATCATTACTAAAGAATTCATATTTCTGTTATAAAGAAGTCACTGAAATTATCAGACATGAAAACGTTTTCAGTTCTTTTGCAGATCCTGAGTAAACGGGTTGAAATCACAGTTTTCAGAAAGTTCTTGAGAATAAATCAGAATCAATTCTGTATTAATCAGATTTAATTACTCATAAATTACACTTGAACTGCTGCTTGTGACACACTAAATAATCACTGCTGCTGTAGTCAGTCAGTTAAAGAACCAGCAGCTAGAATGAGAGGATTGGTTACTTCTCTTTGACGTGGACTCAGATGCTGATTCATTAGGAGCAAAGATAAAGCACGTCTATAAAACATTTTCCGTTCGCAACTTCATGTGTTTGTGTATTGTATGTACGGTCGGCAAGGTCAGTCTCTCAATTGCCCCTCGGGGATCAATAAAGTTTTCTGAATCTGAATGTTGGATGCTTACACATTGTTTTTATGTTGAACAACATGTTAACATATAATTTCATGTACCTTTGCTCTACTAACTTTACAATCATGCTGCAGCTCCTTCCTGCCCTGCTGGTTGGACTTGGTTTGGAGGTCGCTGTTTCCTCTTTGATAGCAGTCAGAAGACCTGGACTGATGCTGAGGTACATCAGGAAATAACAGCAGCTGTCGCTGCATCACTGATGACATAAAGACTTTCTGTCTTTGACTCATTTTAAATGCATTCTCACACTTTTCATCTTCTGTGCACCTCATCTTCCTCCTCAGAGTTCCTGTCAGACACTCGGTGGAAATCTGGCCTCATACCACAGCACAGCTGAGTACACCTTCATCAGAGAGCTCACTCGCACAGCAGCAGGGTCGTATACACGAGCTTGGGTTGGAGGCAACGACAGAGAGAATGTAAGTGTTTCACAGATAAAGAGGATGAGCTGCAGCTGTTTCTGATATTTCATATGTTTCTCTTCATATTCATCAGTTTGATTCAAAGGTCAACATGTGACAGACTGATTAATCAGGACTTTGTTCCTGGAGACAGATGTTGCTGTTGACTTGACTTTTCTTTTCATTTTTTACCTGCACAAACAAAATGAACCTTCATTGTGTTCGAGTGGTGTAAGAGGTCTCATGTCTGCACTCTCAGCATAGATGCATCAAAGTACATCAGAACAAACTGAACTTTATTCTTCCAGGAAACTGTGTGGAAGTGGAGTGATGGTTCCCAGTTTGACTTCAGAAACTGGGGTAATGGACAACCTGACAACTCTGGAGGAGAAGATTGTATGGAGATAAACTGTGAAGGTACAAACTGAAAGTGGGCCTGTTGATGAAATGTGTTTGGTTTTTATATTGACTGAAGTCATGTGATCTTAGGTCTTTATAAGAACTGTGTTTGTTCTTTTTACATTAGAGAAGAAGAAAACATTTACTGCACAGACCTCTGATTTTATTTCTTTGTTTTGATTCTTTACAGGAGGAGATTTTGTCA